GGAATCACTGAAATGAACTCTAAGAATTTATGAATATGCATTGTTTTGTCAATACAAACATGCAGACATCTTTTTTTTTTAGTAAAGGCATGGTAAATTTACATTTTGTTTCTTCTTTAATACAACAAATGTCCAGCTATGCTAAACCCTCTCTACCAGGTCTATTTGACTTTCAAGCAGTTTATAGCCTCATCTACTATTTTTATAGACATGTTTTAAATATATAATCTGGATAGATGTCACTATGTGCTTGTGTCTCATTTTAGGAATGAAATGAGAAGTCTTGCTTTGGAGTTTTTTTGGGAGAGGGTTTTATTTGTGTGTTTTATTTTTATTTTCTTCCTGTGGGTAAATTAAGCCTAAGGTTAGGCTTCTCACTGCAAAATGACTGAATCTATAGTTAGTCTTATAGCATATACCTGAAAATTCTAAAGAGATTGGCTGATTAAACCTCATCAGGTATAGATTTCAATATATGCCAGTATCAAAAAGCATGTCTCTGGTAGAAAGATTAATATTTCTAATGTTTTTCATGCTGGTTGAATTAAAGCTATATTAATCTTTTCTCATTTCTTATTTTCCCTTTCCTCATTTTGATCATCAATATGAATTTTATGAGTCCAAATGAGAAAATGTTATCCAGTCTTATCATACTGTGCTTTTTTTTTTTTTCCCCCCTACAAGAAAGGCAACCTTTTTTTTTATATGTTTTTCTGAACTAATTCAGCGTTTTGGAATAAATTATTCAAATGGATTTGCTGACTTGTATGCAAAGCTTTTAGTTCATGTCTGTTATTCAAGATCTTTTAAAGGTCACGAACTTTCTTTTACATATTCAATGGATGTGTTTTTCAGTGTAAATCTTGACTTTAAACAGAAAAACACAGTAGTGTGTGATTAGGAAGTCTAGATCTTTTCATCTACAGGATCCTGTAATGCACTGGCTTTTAATTTTTATAAATGGAACAATAGATCTCTCATGGGTATAATAAACTGATTTACCTGTGAAGCGTTTCATAAAATTTAATTAAATTCTTTCTGCAAAGCAGAAAGGGGAAATTTTGTTTGAAAGACAACACTTGCATTTTAAAATGCCACATTTTCCCCTGAGCTGTAATTAAGTTTCATTTAGATGGCTCCTTTATATTTTTATTTTTCTTCTTGTGTTCATACTTACTAGATTCTGCCTGGGATCCCTTAACTTAAAATAAGAGTCTTGATTCTTCCAGCTGCAAAAGGTTTCTTTAATTTGCTTCTCTAATTCAGTTCTCAGCTGCAGGCTGGGTAGAGCAGGTCAGCTCAATATTGACTTCAGCCTCTGTCATAGTCATGCCTTATTTCATTCCTCAACTACCAGCTTCTCCCACAAAGACTTTCTTACTTAGTCCTGCTGTTCCTCTGTAGCATGAGAAACAGTTTAGAAAACCTGAAAAAATCCTTGCTAATCCTCTTTCAAATCCCATTTTACAGCTCATCTCTACCATGATCCTACAAAACCCAGATTTTGTCGTAAGGCAGATAATCTAAAACTATATTTTCACAATGCTTTTTTTTTTGTTCTATGTAAAGTAATGCTATCTACTAAATTTTGTGCAGCTAACAAAGCTTTCTTGTTTCATTTCTCACATTATTCACTTGCTTGAGTATTTTATAACTGTTCTTTTTCCTTCTTCTATCCATGTTTTTAGACTGGAGGCGGTGCAGGAGGAAGGAGGTCCAAATATTTGGACCTCCAATATATGCTAATATTTGCTGCTATAGGTGTGTCATTGAAACTGATACACATAGTATATTTGACTAGTCCATTCATGTTAGATAGATTTATATGACTGTGGGAAAATGAGGCAGAAATGAGTGTATTAAAGAAAAAGACCACTTGCTCTTTTTTTTGCCTTTTCTTGTGTGTGTCTATAGTCTATGCTGGGAACTGCACCCTTAGGAGCTTTAGCATTTTGTTTTGTACAGAGGTTAAAATTATTCAGTACTGGCTAGTTAAAATACAGTCTTTTGTGGTTGCCTAACATGGAAAATAGGAGAACTATTGTTGAGACACATTATCTCTCTGAATACCAGCTCTTTATTTACAAACTGGAGTTTGTAAATGTTATAAATGTATAAAAATTTATAAACGCTTTGGGAGTATTCTCTTTTGATATGTGTATATAACATAATCACTGAGACAACAATGCCCTGTCTCAGTCAGGACATCTACATACTCTTGGAATATAAATAGCAAGTAAATAATTGTGCCACTAGTGTATACTTGACAAAACTCTTAATGACCATCTGAGCATCCTCAGGCATACCCCAGAGCAGTAATAGCTTTCTGCAATGTGATGAGCTTGAAAACATTTCAGCAGATCTGTTGCATCAGGAGTGAGTTTCTTCCCTAGAATAAAACCAAGAGTTAATATGTATAGTGTATACATTAATATAATATTTTATATAGTATGTATGTGTGAGTATGTCTACATAGATAGGTTTCTGAGCAGTGTTCTTCTGAATAATAACCTTCATCACACCAAAGTGCTATGTTGCTTGTTATTTTGTTTGCTGTGGTGGCAGTCTGGCTTTACAGTACAAAGGTTGTCTTTTGATTCTGTGTGGAGTAGCTAATATAATCTCTCTTCAGAGGAACACTACACTTTTTGTTTAGTTAGCACTAGATTGTGCTTTGATGTCATTTTATGACTGGAAATTACATGTTTCACCATGAACTGTTCTTTTGAATTTCATCCGTTTTCCCCAGGAGAAAATAACAAATCACCGAAATAAGTGTGGCAGGAGCTGAAGTGTTGGGTAATGACTAAGGGCTTATTTCCTTTATTTCGTGTAGTGATATATGGTGAGAAAAGTTCAGTCAATTCCTTAGCTGCAGGTGTGGCATGCTGCTCTATTTTGTGTGGTTTGCATTATTGAGATGGGGGTATATCAATCTTTAACTAAACTCTTCCCTTGCGGGAAGGAGAAGGCCAACTTGCACAAGTGAGGGATCTGGTCATTTGTTCCTCATTATTATATCCAATTCTTCAGTGTCACAGGTTTTTATAGGCACTTGCAATCTGATGGCTCCACTAGGGTGAAGTACTTAGTGTCACTGAATCCTTAATTTGACAGACCTTGAAAAAAATTCTAAATATGTTAACTGAAATGCACTTGGACTGAGCAAATAAAAGGTCTTGGTTTGGGCTGAGATTCATAACGATCTGTAAATAAAACACACTTGGTAACAGGGAAAAGATCCAAGTAAAAATTGAAACCTTAAATGTATAACATCAGCCACTCTTATTAACTCTAAGGAACTAACAGAAAGCTGTTAGATCACTGACCACTGAGGGGGGGCAGGGGAAAACACAACAAAACCCACAAAAATTAGTGATCTCTCTGGCACCAGGGGAAACACATTTCCATGTAAAAGATGATTGGTGCTCAATCAGGGAGTGGAGACACTCTCTACTTTAAGTAGTTTAAGGTTATCTTTCTTCATTAGGATACTTCCAATTCAGTGATTTTTTTGAATTTTTTTTTTAAGACTAAGATAATCTTCAAAATTATTTTAAAGATTTAGTCTCCATCTTTGAAAGTTATATGAGTGAGCCATTTGACTACAAAATGAGACAATGCAGAGGGTTATGAGGATTATAATCACTTATATTTAGGCAGCTGATTAATCAAACTAGTCAAGCAGTCTAGTCCTTGAAGCATGCTTTTAACAAACTAATCACAAGAAAACTGGAATTGAGTGCAGCAGTTTTATTGGAAAAAGTCCACAGGTGTGTGCAATTCCTTTATTAAAATGTTGTCAAATACATTGGACAAGGAGCAATTGATGATCAAGAGTTATTCCTTTTTTACACATTTTTATTTCTAAAACTATACAAACATTGTAAAACTTTCCTTTTCCTCCATTTTAGGTATTAATAATTCTGTAATGATAAGTTATATATCTCCCTTTTCAATCTGCAAGCCCACTTTCCTGGAGGTGACATTTTACAGCTTTGACAAAAAAAAAAGTTGTATTTACATGTGCTTAAGGTTGCATAATTGAGCATCATACAGGTTCTGAAAACCAATAGATAAATGGTTTTCAAGATTCACCCAGGTGGGTTGAAGGTTTTAAATACACACAAACTGCATACATGTGATTTAGTAGCCAAGACACCCTTTGTTCCCTTTTATTTTCAAGGCTAACTATAAACTGTGTGCTAGCCATGGTAAAGGTTTGTTTTAGTAAAGGTACTTTTACCGAGTGAAAAGCAGCACTGACAACAACTATTGCTGATCAAGGACATGAATGGGCAGAGAATCATATGTGTATATATAATATAAAATCTAATGTTTTGAAATGAACTTGAAGCTCTTATGTAAAAATAATGTCTAGAATAAAAGCTATTTCCTGGACTGGATTAAAGAATAAAAAAAACCCCAACAAACCCACAAACACTTGTGTAAGGAATAAAGTAGAGGTTAACATGGCAAAAAAACAATAGAAGCACATGGATTAAATTCAGAAACTGGTCTAGCAATGTATAATTACTGGAAATTCAGTTGAAATATAGCAACATTATCAATGGAAAATGAAGGCTACAAACTGCAGCAGACACATACAATATACTTTATGAGCTATTATATTGGCCATACAGATTTGTCTACACGTTATTTATTTGAATCCTTAAGGCTTCTCTAATGTCTTAGATGAAAGTGCTTTCTGCTTGGATCTTCCATGCATGAGGGAAAGGGATAAATTTTCAAGGAAAAAAAAATTGTCCACATTTCAATTACAGTAGCACATCCAGAGACACCAAATAAAAGACAAAACTTTATGGTACCTTTGTTTCATTTATTTTGGCCCCCAAGAGATGCATGCACTAGACTTTATATACTACAAGGTATTGAAATATTTACAGCATTGTACATGTGCTCTTAAAGGGATGGCAAAGGGAAAGGACTATTTTTATCTTGGTGGGAGTAGAAGTTACTTTCCTAGCTTAATAATACCTATTCAAAGTGAGAGATGACTCTTCCAAAAAGAAAAGCCCACAAAGAATAAAGCTATAGCATAATTATAGCCATTATTAACAAACTGTACAGCACTTTACCTGGGAATTCTCTCTCTCACTCCTGCTTGAAATAGAAGTACCAACTATTTAGTGATGTTGCCATGCTCCCCTTGCCCTGTCTGCTCTGTTACTCTCTATTCCAGCAGGTACAGCTGTATATTACCTGTTTATATGATTCTTACTTCAAATTATTTTGGCATGTTGAATGGACATTTAATTCACAATAACCTGATGGCATTTTTTGGACAAATGATATGATTGATATTGACCTGGTTATGGCACTAAAGAATTCAGACCACTATAAAGCACGTCATAAATACTTCAAGTGGACTTAGGAAACCATCTCTCTAAGAAATTCAGTGAGTAAGGCTCATATCACTGATATCCTTCTGCTTTTAAAGGTAAAGATATGATACCCAATACACCAGGTTAAAGAGACAGAAGGCAGTTGGGAAGAAGATGCGGGCATAGGAGTCCATTTTGGCAATGCGGATATGTATTCTTCCATGCCTCCACGCTCCCGTTCGACAATCCTCAAAACAGCAAAAAAAACTGGCACAGTCCTTGCCATCAAGACACTCGTACCCATATTCTTCATCCCTTTCTTGGAGGTGTGTAGCATTGTTCATTTGAATAGTAGCTGATCGAGGCCGGATGTCAATTGTAGGTGCCTAAGTTGGAGTGGCAAAAAGAGAAAAAGATGGCAGGAGGGAGAGACACTGTTACTGCCAGACCGACAGGGAGACAAGGACTAATGTCTAATCACACACATGTGAGTGATGGTTCTGCGTGGGGTACATGGGAAATTGCTGAGGAGTTCTTAATGGTAGTATTACTTTGCACTTACTCAAATCAGCTTGCATCATATACTAGCTTTACAGGAAAGCAGCATAAATCAATATAAAGTTAACAGCTGTAGACAATTAGCTTTAAAGCCAAACTAAGTAAACGTTAGAGGTTAAAGGAAACATTCAGGAATGTAACTGATGGTATTTTTAATTTCTTTTGTGTTTTAGATTTTACATAGCTGCTTGATATCTGAAGGCAATTTGTGTATTGCACATGGGAGGAACTGAAATATAACCAATTGGAAATGCAGGATTTTAATATGGGGCTGGTTCGTGTTGAGAGAGGAGCAAATATATATACAGGAAAGAAGGCAAAAACTGGGTCTTTTGAATAAGGTTAGGAGAATCCCTATAAAATTCTCCAATTGTTTGAATATATGCAGTTCACCATCTACTAATGTTCACCAACTACAAGGTTCAACATATTCCTTATTGAAATTTCCTGCTGCTAGTTACGAGGCTAAAATAACAATTCCATTCAATAAGTATGTAAATTTCTTGGCTTTTATTTTATGTGGTTTCTTTTTTTCTCTGTGTGTTTTGTTTTTTTTTTTTAATGAAATACGTGCATTTCTGAATGAAGAGAAGGTTTAGATGTGGAATGTAGCTAGATGTATTTGCTAATTTGCTAAGAGTGTGTTGATCCAGGGACAGCATTAAAAAATATATATGCATCTTAAACCCTTTCAAAACTCTGTCCTTTCTGCATAAGGAACAGCATTTGAGTAATTGGTGATGACACTGCATTTTGTTCAGGTGAACATCAGAACAGATTTGGTTTTGTAATTTGGAGTGAAATCACAAAGGTTAGTAACGTAGGGTCAGAGATGAGTTCTAAAAGGGTATATTGCAGGTTTCTGGTGTAGCTGGTGCTATTGGATCCCATGGCAAATTGAGAAAAAGGGGAGCAGAATTGTTTTAACATTAAACTCTCTTAATTCATGCGATCCAATAATGTTGGTCACTCTTGAACTTAGGTAAGTTCAGAACCCCAGTGAATCAGTATTTGAGCTGCTGAATCAACTCTATAAATTGTGTAGAAATATGTAACCATTCTACTTAATTAGGAAATTACCTTGAGTAGAATGCTTAGATGTCTCGTTTTTTAAAAAAAAAAAAAAAACAACAAAAAAACCCCCCAAAACAACAAAAGACCAGTATCATATAAGCTCTAATAGTTAAATTCAGCAGTTGCATGCAGTGAATTTCCATTCCAAAAAACATTATACCTTGAAGGAAAACATCCGAAGAAGCTTTCATTTTGTAGACAGAAAAGAGAATCAGAGGGTTTTGTTTTAAATTAAAGAAAGGAAGGAAAGAAAGAAAGAGACAAAAATAATGTAAATTAAAAATATGTTTCTAAAACACAATAAGTCAAAGAGAACTGATTTATAGAAAGGTTGGGATATTAGCAATTTAAACAAGTGTCTGTAATATAAAACCCCCACATTTTTGACTTGTCAGTGTCTTGTAACTACATCTGGACCAAAGACATAAGATATCAAACTCCATTTAGATCTTTTCACATTCCCAGGGGATTCCAGTCTTTTACGTTTAACTGTTTTGAAAGAGACCATTCACAGTTTATAAAAACATTGTTAGGAAAAATTCCTTTTACCTGCAGGCTGGGTCCTGAACATTCTACTTTTAAATTTTTTAGACTTCATGATTAGGATCCAGGCAATCATTTATAGTTCTGTTTGTCCCCAAATGCTCACAGATAAGTAATGTAAAGAACAAGTAATCTGCCTTTATATGGGCAACCTTAAGTGAGACAACTAAACTTGAGGTAGTTAGCCTTTGCTCCTTTAATTGACTGTGAAACACACACATGCAGGAAGACAGGCCAGGACCTATTACCCTCCAGAAGCGCCTCTTTCTTTTGACCAAAAGAGAGGCCTGTGATCAAATCCAACTTTTTCCCTGTCTGAGCAAAATCCTAAACCCCTACTGAAGGTATTTCCAAGGTTTTTTTTATTGTGGCTATTACACACATTTTTTATTACTGTGTAGCATGCATCCATAAGTAACACTGTAAACTGCTAGCCAAATCACTTTCTAAGGCTGAGAAGTAGATAAAGGAGGTAAGAAATACACGAAAAAGAAGATAAGGAAACAATGAAAAGGAAACAGATGCTTAAGGGGAAATTCGAAAAAGCACACTCTAGTGTGAATATAAAAGTTTAACTGTAGTTTTGATAATAAGAAAAACAGTCATGTCAGTAATACAGACATAAGTTAATGGCAGACAATACAGCTAAAGCTAAGGCAGAGAAACTGACAGTTCCATAAAGGTCACAGCCAGCGCTCTACCTAGAACATAAATAATGGGTTTGGTGATACTTATGATTTGCAGAACACTTTGGTTAAAAGGATCCTTATTCTGAGAAATTAGTTTCTCTGGCATCCAGACAGCTGTAATATATGAGCTTTTCATTCTCAAGGTGAATGTTTGCATTCTTATTAATACAAAGGAAGAGTATATATGTAATAGCAAAACCTGAAAAGAAAGTACAAGCATAAAGAGAGATTTTTTGCTGGCAAAAATATACATACTGGATTTTTCTTCTTTTTGTCTTTATCCTTGCTCGGCTTTCTGTTGCTGACAAAGTAGTGCAAAGTTCCGTATTCCACCAATGCAGAGAAAACAAAAATAAAGCAGACTGACACAAAAAGATCCATTGCTGTCACATAGGAGACTTTGGGAAGAGATTTACGAGCAATTGTACTTAGGGTGGTCATTGTCAGGACAGTTGTAATACCTGGGAGATAGATAGAAAACAACAGAAATATTATTACTTCAGGTAACAAACTGATTTTGCCAGTTGTATCTCTCTGACTGGTTTTGAAGTATGCCTGGAGTTCAAACATATAGCAAAGATATTAAATGGGACATCCCAACAGTGAAATGTGTATTTAGTGAGAGCTTTGAGGATTAACACAGTGTGTGAAACATTTTTCATGGTCACTGCAAGTGCTGCTCTGCAGAATACTTCGGTTAGATGGATTCTGATTCTAAGAAATTTAATTTTTTTTTTAGTTTTGTAGTTTACTTTTAGGTGGCCTTTATTTTTAATTGAGACATTCAGTTTTGTGGCTTTGTGTGCTCAAACTCTTAAACAGAGCTAGAGAGAGGAGAACTTGTGTCAGAGCGAGAAAATTATGGTGGAGAATAAAAATTGCTTTACTCCATTCTTCAAATTAACCTCAGGACCAATCTCAAACTTTTTGTGCTGTTGCCATAAGTTTTGCTTATTTTTAGTTGCAAGGTAATGATACCAGTGTCAGTAAGAGACACTGCAGCCATTATATGAGGTAGAAATTAATGAAAATTCTTAAGAAGGCATGTGATCCAGCTGGAACTTCAGGACAAAATGTGTGGAGATTTGTATGTGTGCTACATAAAGAAATAAAACTGTTTCTTTTCTCCTGCCTAAATGCATTCTAGTTGCATGCAAAAGATCCTAGCCCCACACAAATTATCTTCTGCTCGATTTAAGTGATTTCTTGCATATAAAGCTGGAAAGGAGAGTCTCTCAGGGCTCCTTATAATTGTAGCACTGTGAGGTCAGATGTCTCTCTGTGCCAGAACAGTATCTCTTCTGGCCTTCGTAAGTGAAGTGTAGTCTATAACTGAGAAGTAGTGACATGCCTCACCATCCCTTCTCCTTTCAGAACATTATTCCCTGTACTATTATGTGAAGAACATTAAAAATGCATCAGAACGGTTAAAATCCATCACATCTTATATGGCAAATTTCATACCACTGGTTTTACCTTCTCAGTGGTACAAATAGACTAATTCTCAACTGAGGGACTTAACTTTTTTATAGCTAAGTAAAATTTAAAATAAGAGCTGAAAGCCTTTATTAATTTTATAGTTCTTTAAAGCAGATTTTTATAACCTCTTGTGCGAGGTTATGTGAAAATGGCAATAAAACATTTAAAACTTTGTCATGGGAACCACTGGTCCTATATTCCTTTGTTTGTTTCAAGGGAGTTCTAGAATGAAAATGCTGTCCCTCATCTTGCACTCCAGTGCTCTGTGCTGTAGTTCTGGGAAGAAATGAGAATGAAGAATATGAAAATAAAATGTTTCTCACTTGTATGGATTTAATGCAGAGTAGAAAACGTGTTTAACTTTCTTTAGGTGAATGTTTCTACTTTGCTAATTCTTACAGCTACAGCTGCTTTGCACAAGCAAGGTTACTTCGGTGTCTCTCTTAATTTATTTGTGGAACATCTGCTAAATCACAGAATCATTAAGGTTGGAAAGGACCTTTGAGATCATCAAGTCCAACCATTGACCCAACACCATCATGCCCCCTAAACCATGTCCCGAAGTGCCACATCCACACGTTTTTTGAACACTTCCAGAGATGGTGACTTCACCACCTCCCTGGGCAGCCTGTTCCAATACTTGACAACCCTTTCGGTGGAGAAATTTTTCCTAATATCCAATATCAACCTCCCCTGGCGCAACTTGAGGCCATTTCCTCTCGTCCCATCACTAGTTATTTGGGAGAAGAGACCAACACTCACCTCGCTACAACCCCCTTTCAGGTAGTTGTATAGAGCGATAAGGTCTCCCCTCAGTCTCCTCTTCTCCAGAGTAAACAACCCCAGTTCCCCCAGCCGCTCCTCATAAGACTTGTGCTCCAGACCCCTCACCAGCTTCGTTGCCCTTCTCTGGACATGCGTAAGCCACCTCAATATCCTTCGTGTAGTGAGGGGCCCAAAAATGTGTAGAAATTACTAATTCTGATTAATTGCATGTCACATTTTCATGTATAGGATTTTAGACGCTACCAAGTTCAGTTGATTTTTGTGGCCTGAAGTCTACATTTGATTTTGGTCTCTAAAGTAGAAGTCAGGGTACTACATTCTCCTCCTTTTACCACTACGGCATGCAGACAGCCAGAAAGATTGATTCCTTCTTGGAATCAATTTCTTTATTTCATTTGTATTGCTAGTCACCGTGATATGAAAGTAGAGCAAATAAAACTAATACGTCCCTACCTCTAATGCAGCAATATTCCCTGTCCTCTTAATGTTTATGAAAAAATACTGCTGTCATCAGAAAAGATATAAGAGGTTTTATCATAGGCAATCTACGATACTCAGAGTTAGGATCTGACATAGTAAAAAGGAAGAGATGCAAATATGGTTTAGGCTGTGTTATTCCTTGGAAATCATGACATCTGTTTAAACAAGGAGAGCTGGTGTGAAATTGTCTCTCCTCTTATATTTACAAACTGATGATCCACAGAGGTGTCAATTAAACATCATAATGCTTGAATATAAGCAGGAAGAAAAAACAACTCACCCAGTGATGTTCTGGCTGGAACTGCATCCTTATTAATCCAGAAAGAGACCCAGGACAACACAACAATAAGTGTGCAGGGAATGTAGGTCTGAATAGTGAAATAACCCATTCTCCTGCTCAAGTTGAAGTAAACAGACATGACTACATAGTCTCCTGTAAAATAAAAGCATACTGAGATAGAATAATATGTTAAAAAAACCCACAGAATTTCTATATAATAGCTAGGGTTTTCTTATTCTATGTCTGGGGTATAGAGATTAGCCTGATTCACCAGATGTACTGATGGCAAATACATGCATACCTCTTCAACACTGGTATAGCTCAAGAACTGGTGGATTTTCCGCGCTATGAGAGTAAAGAGTATCGCAGGTTCACTTAGGTAACTTGTACTTCAAGGTTTTAAGGGTAACCTCCCTTGCATAGCAGAGCAGGCTTCTTTCTACCCAAGTCATTCCTCATAACTTGCAAATGCCTGGTATAGTACTCTTAGGGAAACTGAGTGGTGGTGGTCCAGCAAACCTCCAGTCACCATGCTGTCCCTGTCAGCGTGCTCTCAGCTCTGCTCTCAAATAATGCATGCTTTCAGATGTACTTTCTAAATTATTCATGTTCTCAACTATTCAGGGCTAGGCTGTGTCAATAATTAATTTTTTATTTGTCTGCAGATATTCTGTTGTATTATTTCTTCTAAAAGGATTTGAACCCACATCTCAGCTGCCCCAAAACGCCAGGCTATATGTTACTCTGGTGTGTATAACACAACATTCCCATTAAATAGTTTCATGATTCTTTTTCCAGATTTTTTTCCCCTCTCAAACTATTCCATCTGGATACTGGAATACAGCAAAGCTTCATTTTTTGATGTATTTTTTTCTAAACTAAAAAAACCTAGTTCTCATCTTTACTTCAGATTACAGGACTCCTGGGACATCTTGACTGGAAGGGAACTACAGAACCCCAGGCTACAAAAGACTTCATTGCTGTTCAGTGAAATGCAGTCAAGAGAAATCTTAAACAGAAACAGAATAGGATTTGCAACTTTAGAGTGAGATAGTTTTCCAGTATTATCAAAGAGACTCTGTAGCTAATGTGTATTCTGCTTAGATCAGTACCTTTATTTAACATTGAGTTCTCTGTTTTCAGGCATAATTAAAATTTTAATTTCCCCCAGAATAATCCCTTTGAACCTGGTCACAGAAGAAACTTTAGTGATCATTTTTCAGCTGACGCTTCTTTGTGATAATATTTTTTTCAATGTCAATGTCCATATCCCAGGAATTAATTGGTTTTAATTTAATTATATTATGTTATAATTAAACCAAACAAATTATATATGTGTGGTTTACAAGGAGATATGGCTGAACATGAGCAAATGATTTTAATACCTACAGTCTGATTATCCCCTTAATTCACAGATAAGTTTGCATTGTATGTGTATGTCCTTCATATACCACAAAAAAACCCCAAACTCAAAAAACCACCACTGATCAGGAACACTGTAAAACTGAAGCCATAAAATTACAGTATGACTCATTCTTGATCTCTTTAGATTGTGTATTAATTTCCTGAGAAGTGATAATTTTGTCAATTTTTTTTATTCATTCACCTTCATATATGCTATTGATAGTATTGGTATTTCAATTTTTTTTTTCCTGCTCTACTATGGTAGAGATTACTTGAAGTAGTAGCTGTATTACTGCTATACAAACAGCTTTAAGGAGAAAGCAATTTTCATGCTCAGTGTTATTATATTACTTTAATGAAACAAAAAGTTATCAGAAGAAAGAGGTGAAATATAAACCCAAACATCGATGAGAATGTAAAAAGGTACAAAATAGTAGCTCAGAATTTAAATTTAAAGATCAGATTTTTTTTTGTGTTATTGCATCTTTTCCTGAAGCTGCAACTGCTATAGACTCTTTCGGAGTAGCTGAACAGGTATATCTGATCCTACGTAGCTACTGTCTCCATATTTTTTACTACTTTCTCCATATTTTTTGTCCTGTACTTGGACAGGACTTTTTTGTCCTGTACTTGGACAGGTCATCTTGCACAACTGTTTTGGTAGTTGTAGCACTTTTGCCTTGTAGGATCTTTTATTTAACAGAACAAAAATATCAGAATCTAGTACACAAGCCAGCACTTCCTTACAGCTTTTAGTCAAATGCAGAACTCGGCACCTTTGCTGAGAAAACAAACTGGATAAATCCACATGACCAAGACCAAGGCAGACTGTTAAGACTTCATGCATTGTCCTTGTTTAGTAACAGTGTATGCAAACCAAGCCAAATGGTGACGTGGATAATGTATGAATATACATATATCTGTATATAGAGAGAGTAGCCTCAGTCCTTCCATTATATAGACCATTTCCACATACGTTGTTTCATTGTGTTTTTTTTCTAGAAAGTTTGGTGGTGATCATGTGGTCTCCATGGAGACTTGTTTGGATTTTTCCCTTAATTCAAGAAGTGTTTTTAATACAACAAGCTATTACAATAATATTTTTACAACATTTTATGCATTATTTTAAAATAAATCTTTTTTTTCTTAAAAATATAATGCAAAAGAGCTTTTAAAATATTAACTACCTTGTAAAGGCCTCAATCCATTCAGCAACAATGAATCATTACTCTGAATTCTCTGTCTTCTCAAACATGCACTTCAGAGGACAACCCATTTCCATAGAGCAACAGCAGTGTCCTGCCACAGAGCATTCACTACACAAACTGGAGACGCTCCAGGTGGAAGCATTTTATGTCTAATTGAACACAATTCTCTCTGGTTTTCTGATGTTTGGGTTTTTTTGCTTTTTTTTAAAAAATACTGGACTTCTTCACCACTTATGCTTAGAAATAGCATATCTCTGCTAACATGTTCCAAAAAGTTAAAAAGTGATGTAATTGTTCTAGATTTTGTTCAACCCTCACAATTGTTATTACACCTTCCTTTATGCAGACTTTCTTCCCTAATGGATATATGTGTAAAAAAAAAAAAAATTCAAAATACTCCAGAATGATATCCATAGGAAACACTCTATCAACTTCTGATACTTAAAGTCCACAGTATTATTCTGGAAGACCTTATTTCTCATGCCTTGTAGAACTGGAAACACTTTACTGAAATCTCAAGGAAATAAGAGGCCCTATATACTTTATATGGCCTCTAAGGTTTCTACTAATTGAGAAGTTAAATCAGATGAAGTAAAAACTTCAGTACCAACTATAACTTGCCACGCACTGTGGAATTGACCAGTGTGAAGAATCATTCAAGGATGCATAAATTCTTTTAAATTACATGTTGCTTTCTAATCTGAAAACCTGCTGGTGCTACAGACACTGTTGTGTTGTGGAATAAATTCCCTTATTTCAGAGAATTGTTCTAAAGAAAGGAATAATGTTAATACCACAGAGAGGTGTTTTGTTTATTTCTTACCTTGCTTGGTTGGGAATTTGGGAAGTGGGATGTACTAATGAGTTTTTTTTCAAGGTAAGAGTAAGAACAACAAATATAAGTTAGGAAATGCCAAGACAAGGCAAGCCAGTAATTCTGTAATGCATCAAATATCTCTTCTAGCCTTGAAGTAATATGAACAATTGTAAACAAAGAATTAAGGAAAACAGGACTAAGTGGTGGGATGCTCCAGAGAAGCATGTTGCTGGTACTGCTTAGTTTGTGTAAGTGCTGTTGGAACGATGTAACAGCAGGTCTTCTGAGATGTTGAATAAGAAGATTACTCTGAGCATACAAGTTAATGCAAAACCAAAGATGTGCAGTTCAGGACCTAGTATTAGTTGTCATAACACGTACATCCAAAATGTAAAACGTCCTCTGTGGAATGTGAGCCTGACAGTATTCTGCTTTAATCACGCTTCCATGACAGAATCTTGCCCCAGCCCTGTTTTTACCCACATTTGTTTGTTCTGACTCTATTCATGGACTTCTCTGCTCTTTAGCTGGGACCAGCTTAAATACTCTGTTATTTTCAGATTATCTCTGTGCCTGAGGTGATTTTTCACTCCTGGTGTGATGCCTGCATGAAGCTGTCAAACTAAGATGTTATTTTAGTGAAAAAAGGCTAGACTTGATCCTTAGCACAGTGTCATTCATTAGGTCTCACCTGGCAAATTGATAATCTTTTCGTTATTCATCCTCTTCCCCTGCGCTCTGGCTCTTGTTTATCCAGTGTTGTCTACTGCAGCAATAAACTTCTCAGATGGCCAGACTGCTGTTTGGAGGGCTAATATACTTTTGGATTTTTCTAGAAATGAATAATAATGCAACCTGGCAGTATCAGTATCTTTGTAAGACAGCATACTGAAGTACTTCACGTTTGGCACCCTAATTAGAAGATTTTGGATTACTTATCCTTTCACCAGAGACCTTACAGTCCTGCTGCCCATTAAAGGTGTATATAACTGTTACATATGTCTAGAAAATAATACCTAGAAAATCTTGACTTTTTAAAGAAATACAAAATTTCCCCAGAAAAAATAATCTTACTATGTCAAAGAGCATAATAATTCATCCTTAATTTATCTGGACCTCATCTCTCTCTCTCTCTGAATATGTATATTTCACTTTAAGGGTTCTGACTTGAGCCACAGCATCTTCATACTGCTATTCTGAATGGGAAGTTGAAGATTTCTCTTCGCGGCAATAATCCTTGCTGCACACAGAGAAAGTGCATGGGCATTAATTCACTTCTAGAGTAGGAGATATTTTGAAAAGAAGATGCATACCATCAGTATCCAGTGATCACGACCTTAGTAAGCCCTTACAAAATTCTTATTTCTAACAGTCCTGTGCCATTCTAATTTACACAGACTCATCTATTTGAACCTTCAAAATTGGGAAGCTCCTCCTATCATACATTTGTGTGACACAGTAATTTGAATACCAGGATTCAGGCTGTGTTAGACAGTAGAAGTGAATTCCTGATTTGAGGAACCATCTGTGCATAAGTCCTGTCTTAAGTCCCAAAGGTTCAATAGGAGGAATTAGTCATGCCAGGAAGCACAGCTAGGGGGAATGTACACTGCACTTAACTGATTTAATCAGCACAGTGGGTGTGATTTTTCCATTGCTTCCTGGTTGTGGAATCATTTATACCTGTGTGAAGTGAATGGGAAATTATACCCATTAGTACTCTC